GTTTGAGTTAGTATCTTTCCCCCGTTAAATGCACTTTTCTGTCGGTTGTTCAGTAATCTCCACGATTTCCTTTGTCTTCTGGTTTTATTCCGATCAGGACCCAGCCAACGTATCGTTAAACAAAGTAAACTCAACTTCCGTGTTGTTTAAGTGCCCTCAAACCTCTAATGCGACCACTCGTATTCAAGTCTGTCGCAATGTATATTTTGACGAGACACCGCGTATTTTCAACTGACTTCATTTGTTCGCCGATCAGTCTATAAAACGGGCACCAGAGATCCAGTTTAGTACAAGCGACTCGTTATTTCAAGGTCAGGTGAGAAGTAACGGCTTATTCGAGAATTTAGCTATTGGAGTCTTGATAACATCCGCTCCGTTCACCTAAATATTAAAACACCCCGGGAAATGAAAGTTCTTTGTACATCCCGCGGCCGGTCGTTGAGCGGAGTGGAGCATTGTTTCGAACTGGGTTGTTTTCCGGTGTGGTCGTATGTGTGCGCGCACCTGTTGGCATATGCTTTGAAATGTGCATCATTGATATCCCATGTCGCTCACTCCTCAATCTATTGGAAAAGTTAGGGTTTACTCACATCAACTGAAAGTGACGTTTCTTTTGTTCAGACGAAAACATCAAGTTCGTAGTTATCGTTGAACTCCGATTAGTTTGTGTAGTCGTCGGTTGATCGTGAGCTCCATGATCCACCGGGTAGTGTTTTCATCCTTTTGATACAAGCAGATTTTAGAATAGGCGGAAATGTTTTAACCAATATCGTGCTACCTTCCAACTCCTTGCAGTTCCTTCGTCAGTAGAAAGTGATACGTTGAAGAAGGGCACCAGTTGCTTTCAGTTCATGTTTCAATTAATGAAACTTCTAATGCTTTGCTTATCTGCACCAGTTCCGTTGATGCTTAAGGGTTACATGATTACCAGTAAGATACGGGAAGAAATACGTAGAGATCACCGATCCAAGGTTCCGCAACATCAGTTCATCACCCCTATAGTTTCTAGTCACGGACCGAGGAGATATCAGAGCCGCAACCCATCCGACCCGATAAACATGATTGCTTCCAGTCGAGAGCTGTTTCTTACATTCTTTCCCCCGTCATGTTGGTCGTACTGCATACCTCTTGTTTGTATGTGAATGACACGTTAATAAATACTGGATACACGGTCATTGACTCGTAGTCCCAAAGAATTCTGAATACAATGTTTTACGGATGTCACTTAATGGATTGCCACAGTGCACGATGTTTGCCTTGGCACATAGTATGTGGGAAAAAACCGAGGCTGGTCAAACTAAGACCTGGCGTTAGGGTATGAAAACTTACCAGGAATCTCAGTCATGTACGTTATGGTGGGTTCCTTGGATGGGATCTCGAGATCATGGAAACATTGAGTGGTATGGCTGGGTGTTGTAAACACTGGCGCTCGTGCATCTACTCAATATCCTTGCAACGGTAATCTACCGAAATTCAATTCCATTTTCCCTTTTACGCTGTCAACTTTTCAATCTTCCCTGTGTGCCTTCATTCAAAGGAACCCTGGTGGTTTTCAACCTCTGAACAATGTTTTCGTTTGCACCAATGGGTGTTGATATACCATTACTTGACTACGAGGTATGCGGGGTGGAATAAAGTCAAGGGTGGTCAAGCTAAGACCTGGCATGAGGGTCTGAAGTGCCTTACCAGGAGACTGGGTCAGATACGCCCTGTTAGGCTCCCTGGATGGGGTCCTCGGGATGACCATACCCGATGGTTAGAGACACTGAGTGGTATGGCTGGGTGTTGTAAACAATGGCGTTCGTGCATCTTATCGATTTCTCTGCAAAATTAGTGCAAGGAAGTCCTACATTTTCTCTTCGATCCTACTTTCAATCTTTCCTGTCTTTCTCCTCACGTTCATCCAAATGAGCAGCCAAAAGACAGCAACGAAAACCGGCGCACGATAGTGCATAGTTAATGGTTGCAGAAACTGAAACTGAAACTGATATGCGGTTGTCGGTATGAGTAAGTGGTCAAGCGTTGTTTATTGGAATTCATGCAGTGGGCGTATGCTCATATTCTCCGTATCTGTTACGCTCAGATAAATGAGTATGATATTTGATCTCAGTTACTGGCAAGTAGCGGTGTGAGGATAAGTATCTTTTGTGGCCCAAACTCTTGGACCCACCCTGGGATGGGTGGACGGATAAGCACTACTGTTGGGCCCTAGTGAGAGTGAGATATCACTGTGGCATTTTTTGACTGTTCGCTTGACAAGCTGATTTGAGAGTTGAGATCAGTGAAGTTTGACGAATGATCAGTCAAAATCCATGAGTACAAAGCTTTATAACCCACAAGCGACTTGAATCTGATTTACCCCTTGCATTTGCATTCAAGTTATCGTTTCGAATGCTGAATTCTGTTCGATTTCTCGTGTGCTGTTAACATTATTTAATTCAGCCAACAATGTAGGTTAGGCTTAGAGTTTTAGGTAATCGCGGTCGTCCACTGGAGCAATTGGTCGAGCCCCATAGATTACGTTGGTTGGGGCGTTTAACGCGTGTCACCAAATAGGTTGCCACGGCAAGCGATGTTTGCCGAAACAGGTAGCGGTTGGAAAACGGTCAAGGGCGATCAAACAGAGACACTGAGTGATATCATTGAGTGTCGCAGACAGTAGCGCTCATGCATGTACTGATTATTCTTGCAACCTCATTTATATGAATTCTCTATCTTTCGCTTGAATTTGCTCTCAACATTCCAATCTTCGTTCTTCACTTTTATCCAAATGGGCGGCCAAAAGACAGCAGCCAAAACCGGCGCACGAAAGTGCATGGTTAATGGTTGTAAAATCTGAACTGTACTATGTATCGTAGCACGGCGGATAAACAAAAGTTGAATCAATTTGAGCTATTTGATTCCTAAACAAACAGAAGCAAGTAAGCCTTGTTGCATATGTTGCACATGTTGACACGAACAGGTCAAATACAAACGCGGTTGCATAAACACTTCCTATTCACCATTTGTTGCTAGTTTATTAAGCATGCTGTGGATTCATTATAAGAAAGTTACCATACCCAGTCTACCTCACAGGAATTGGTACCCCCAAGCTCTACGGCGTAATTCCTACGTGTGAATGCGACCGAACCACATTTAATTCCCATTCTCACAGTTGAATACTTACTTGGTTTCTTGTCGACCCACTTCCAGCTTTGATCTTGTGCTTGCACATGCTTTCCGAGACCGTGCTGTTCACACCCTCCCAACCGGACTCCTGCATCGTTCTCACCATTAATGTGATATAGTG